CTTTGGTTAATTAAAGGCAAATACCTCTTTGCAATGCAGATAGCTGCTCCGTCAGTCCTGCCAGGACACAGAGGCTCACTGTACGTGATCTTTAATTGAATGACTTTCACTGCAGAGACCTCTTGGTCTTTCATTAATCAGCTGTATACACAGTAAAGGTGAAGCTTAATGAGGTGTGTGTCAGGGCCCTCCGACGTGGGGTGGCCTAGGTGGATGCATGTACTGTTCCACATTGTGATAATCTGACATCCAGCATTTTGTGGTCCACATAATGTCAGTGTGCAGTGATTCTAATTAATACAAAGATAGCTTGTCTGATATCAAGACAAACCTCTCAGTGGCAGGAGCAAATAATTTCTTGAGAGTGAGAACATCATGATCATGTCCTTGGCTCTGTCCTGGAGTCTGAGCAATTGAGCCATTTGGTGGCTGGAGAAAAGCGGCTTAATTCAGAGGCTGAATAATGCAGCTGTTAGACCTGGAGCCTCTGCATCTAGACTGACCAGGCTCACATCACGGCACTGCAACCCAGGAGAATCACGTAAATGCTCTGTACCTCAGTTTTCTTATCAGCAAAATGGGAATAACAATATTGCCCACCTCATAAGGTTGTTGTGAGGAGTGAATGAGTTAAAACAGAGAGAAGTGTAAGGTCTGTGATATATAGATGCTCACAAAATGCCAATATTTTTATACTCATGTGCTTCTCTGTTGGTTACCTGACAATGTCAACAAAATTCATCATTTAGAATGAGTGCATTTATGTGTTCTTTTGGGCAAGAGGATGGGTTTCTCTTACTTTTCCTCTGAAGAACTTAGTGCTTTGAGCTTGGTGGTTAAGTACACAGAGGCCACAAGTCAGGTTGCTGGGCTTCAAATTCCAGCTCATCTTCAAATTCTTGGGTAACCTTGCAAGTGTGCATGCATGGGGGAAGATCCCAAGAAGCTCAGTGGAAAGCAACAGCTGGAAAACTAAAATAATTGAGTACATACCTTAGCTTCTGCCAAGTTAAAAGAGCTTGGTAAACACGTCAAGCTGTCCTTTTAGACCTCAAAGTAAAGACAAGGTTCCAGGGCTAAGGGCGACCTCCAAATAGACCCACACTAACAAAATAGAAAACAAAACCTCTGCAAGTTCAAGCTGATCAGCCAGCAACTTAACTGCCTGATAGAACCAAGCCTAGCATCCTTCAGAGTGTCAGCAATGTATCATCCACAATGTCTAATGTACAATAAAAAATTATCAATCATATGAAGAAACAGAAACGTGTGACACGTAGTCAAGAAACAACAAATAGAAACAAACTGCAAGATGACACAGTATTGGAATTAGCAGATAAGGACTATAAGGCAACTACTGAGTTCAAGGACTTAAAAGAAAAGATAGCTACATTGAATGAACAGATGGAGAATTACAGCAGAGAAATAGAGACCTATAAGAATAAGCAAATTTAAATCCTAGAACTGCAAAGCAAAATATCAGAAACACAAAAAAATAATCCACAAGATAGGTTTAATAGCAGATTGGAGACAGCAGAAGAAAGGGTAAGTAAACTTGAATGTAGATTAATAGAAATTATCCAATGTGGAAACTAGAGAGACAGAACCTCAGTGACTTGTGGAACAATATGAGGCAGTCAAATATATATATATATATAATATATATCTCAGAAGGAGAGGAGAGAAAGTGGGGCAGAAAAAATATTTGAGGAAATAATGGCTCAAATTTCCGAAATTTGGCTTAAAACATATATTTACAGTTTCAATGAGCACAGTGAGCCACAAGTAGTTAAAGTACAAAGAACAAACAAAAATATCTAGACACGTTATAGCCAAATGAATGAAAACAAAGATAAAGAGAAAATCTTATAACCATTCAGAGAATATTGACACATTACACACAAGAGATCAATAATTCGAATTTTGGACAACTTTTCAACAGAAATAATGGAGTTACAGAGACAATGTAATAACATTTTTAAAGCGCTGAAAGAAAAATGTGTCAACCCAGAATTCTATATCCATCAAAAATATCCTTCAAAAATGGAGGCAATGTAAAAACATTTAAAAATAAAATGAAAGCTGAGAAAAGGTGTTGCCAGCAGACCTTCACTAAAAGAAACGTAAAAGAAGTTCTGCAGCTGAAAGGGAAATGACACCAAATGGAAACCTGGATTGGCAGAAAGGAATGAAAAGCACTGAAAATGGTAAATGTGTGAGTAAGTATAAAATATTAAATTTTTCTGCTGAATTTCTTTAAAAGACAAATGACTATTCAATGCAAAAAAATAACACTCTGTTGTATTGTTGACAACATTTCTAGATGTAAAATGTATGATAAAATCATAAAGGACAAGGGATAATAAATGGATTATATTGTAAGATTCTCACATTTTAAGGAAAATAGTACAATATTAATGCTGTGTTGCGTTAAAAATGACTATTGGGGCTTCCCTGGTGGCGCAGTGGTTGAGAGTCCGCCTGCCGATACAGGGGACACGGGTTCGTGCCCCGGTCCGGGAGGATCCCATGTGCCGCGGAGCGGCTGGGCCCGTGAGCCATGGCCGCTGAGCCTGCGCGTCCAGAGCCTGTGCTCCGCAACGGGAGTGGCCACAGCAGTGAGAGGCCCGCGTACCACAAAAAAAAAAAAAAAGACTATTGTAATTTGTAGAGCAGTCACTGAAAAATAAGAGTCATTGCTAAAAAGACAATTGAGGAATTCAAATAAAATAATAAAAAGTACTGAGTTTACCCCAAAGAAGGAGAAACAGAAGAATAAAAAAGAAATGGGACAAATGGAGAACACAGCAAAACGGGAAACCTAACTCAACCATGTGAATAATTGTAAAGGGAGCAAACGCTCCAATTCAATGGTAGATATTGTCAGATTGGATAAGAAAGCAAGAGTCAAGTATGTGCTATCCACAAAAAGGCATTTTAACTATAAAGACATTGAAAATAAAAGAGTATAAAGAAAGCTGGTGTGGCACCGTTAATATCAGACTGGGTAGACTTCAAGATAAGGAGTATTATTAGAGACAAAAAGGGACATTTCATAATGATAAAATAACCCATCAGGAAGACATAACACCCTAAGTGTGGATACATCTCATGCATACCAGAGCTTCAGCATATGTGAGGCAAAACCCAACAGAACTAAAAGGAGAAATAAAGAATTCCACAATCATAGTTGGAGGTTTTAATACCCCCTCCCAGTAATTGATAGGACAAGGAAACAACAAAAAAAAATAGAAAACGAAAAAGCAAGTCAGAGAATGAGAGGAAACATTTGCAATATGTGTGTCCCACAAAGAACTTGGATCCAGAATATATAAAGAACTCTTCCAAATCTCAAGACCAGCAGTCCAGTGAAAAGGAGGCAAATGACTTGAACAGACATTTCAAAAAAGAAGTTATACAAGGACCAAAAAGCACATGAAAATGGTGGTGACACAGCTGTATCCATTTCTTCAAAGCTCACACTTAATATGCATATTTCAGATCTGTGCATGTCACTGTATATAAATTTTACTTTAATAAAAATAGTGCAGGAGGGTCAGGAAGAGAAGGGTCTAGGTTTGAACCCTGCTCAGCCACTTGATCTCGGTGGCCTTGGGCAAGTTACTTAACCTCTCAGAGCCCCAGTTTCTTTATCTGTAAAATGGGGATGAGAATGAACTCTTCACTGGGCTGCTGTGAAGATTAAATCCAATGACACAAGACACGGAGCATTTAGCGTGTATGAGGCGCTCTATTAAAGAGCTTAATGCTCGCTCTTTATTCCCCACCCTCCTTCTCGCCTCCCAGCTCCCTAAACTTCTCTCTCCATGGATTCCTTCAGGACAAGCAAGGGACGAGAGTAGGGGGGGGATGTCCTAACTTGTGCAGCGTGGGGTCCATGTGGCTGGGAGAGGAAACCCTGCTGCCATCACTTCCTCCCTGGGGCTGTTAGGAGGAGACGGAAGAGGAACCATTTCTATGCGCGGCTGCTCGTGTGTAACCATCTCCCCTGAAAGCAGATGCAGAGCTAACATCTAGCCCCAAGTACCGGACAGTCCTTGCTCTGTGTACATTTTGATATAGTAAAAGCTGGCTTATCGGACATGCTAGCAACTGAAAATGAACTGAACAGCCTAAGGACAACCCTGAGGGACTCAAACAAATGAAAATGAAATCCTGTGAAGTTTTAATATCAAATATGAATATTGAGTATCAGAATGCTCTAAAACTTGGTAATCCTCAAGTGTACATATGTATATTGTGTCTCTATCCATCTATCTATTATCTATCATCCATCTATCCATCCATGCATCCATCGATGTATCTTCATCATCATCCATCACCATCATCATCTATATCTAAACTATATCAGAGAATCATTGCTTCTAGGGCTGACAGTATCATTTGGTTTGACTCCTTCATTTCAGTGACGATAAAACAGAGACCCAGGGAGGTGAAGAGCTCATCTAAGATCACAGTGCTGGGTTGTGTATGCACCTTCGAGGACATGGCATCCTCTGGCACTGGGATGTAATTGAATATCTACACTACTGCAGCTTAGCTTCCTGTGGGTTCCTCCTTTATTTCCTGTGTGAGAAGCTGACCTCAATTTATGCCACGTGAGAAAAAATACCCCCAAATGCAAATATCTGATGCCATTATTGGAGGGAGGTGGGCTGAAAAAGGATTTGATTTTTAACGAGACCTGTGAGCACTGCCCGAAGGATTCCTGTGGCAGAAGGAGGCTGATCTGAATGGCACAGGAGGGCGTTTACGCAAAGAAAGGAGCTGTGTCTGGTTGTTGGACGCTCAGCCAGATGCAATAATAAAGTAATTTACAGGAGGATGCAATGGGGAAGTTTAAGAGGGATGTGCACGTCTGCCTAAGGAAATGATCTGTGAGGGTCTGTGCTAGTTGGCTTAAGGAAATTAATGGCAGCATTTGAAAATGCAATTTGAAAGAAGGAAGAGAACTGGAGGTCAAGAAATGTGGTAAATACCTTGAGGGCTATATGCAGCATCATCTGGAGGCCACTTTTGCCTGGGTATTTCCCGGCAATGTTGGCTGCAGACAAGTCGAAGAGGGTGGCTCCCGTTTCGGTGCAGATGGCATGGACCAGCAACTTCTTTCCCACCCCAGAGGGGCCAGCCAAGAGCAGGGATTTCACCAAAGGAGCCTTCTCATGCACTGCTTTGGAACCTAAAAAAATGCAGAGGCAGAGGCTCTAAGATCCCGCCAAGAAAATAAGTGGTTCTTAGATGGGGACTCCTCAAGGCCGTGACTCCATGGCGTGACACCAGTCTCGGCAACAGTGATGGATGTGTGGAAGGCATTTCTCACCAAGGGCACGCCTCCTGTCTCAGCCAGCTCTGTGACACCCTTGATTTGTATGTCAAGGTGGACCTGTCAGGTGTCCTTGGGTGCTCAGTACATTGCTTCTCTCTCACCCCTCACCCCAGCATTTCCCCCACACTCGTAATTTTAGAGAACATTCCTGCAGTAACTAACCTCTGGCATTTTGGGGGAAGGGGCTGGGGTTTTCTCTGCTTCTCAGCAGCACTACACCCTTTGAAGGCTCGGGAAGACGAATGTGCGATGGACAGGAAGATGCGGGGGGAAAGGAGGAAAGAACAAGATCCAGGCAGCAGTAGCCTGGCTTTTTTTTTAAATTTTTATTTTATGTTGGAGTATAGTTGATTAACCATGTTGTGTTGGTTTCAGGTATACAACAGAGTGATTCAGTTACACATATACACGGACCCATTCTTTCCAAGTTCTTTTCTCGTACATGTTATTATAGAATATTGAGCAGAGTTCCCTGTGCTATGCAGTAGGTCCCTGTTGGTTTCATCTGTCCTGGTTTCTAGTCTGTCGGTAGGGGCAGAGTCAACCTGACCCTCGATAATAAAGGACGTGAATTATTAGGTCACTCAGAGGTCCCTGCCCTGTGCTCTCAACCTCATCGCCCATCTCCTTCGAGCCCAGATTGGAACTCGGGCTTGATTTCTTCCACCATCCTGAACACGAGCAGAGCAGACGTCGGCGCTAAGTAATTAGAGAGTGAACAGAATGAAATCCTGTAGAAGGCTGTGAATGGAACATCGGCTATCACACTAGTTTGCTTTTGGTCAACTACTGGGCTCTTCTGGATCAGCTGTAAACATATCAACATTCTAATTATTATTGTGCTTCTCTTTTTTCTTGTGTGATTGACAAGACTTAGGGAATTTATCTTATTAGAAACAGTTTTTATAGTTACCTACTACACTCCGCAAAAACTTGGAAAGTAGTTTTGAGCGAGTTCTCTTTAAAACGAAGCTAAGCGGGCACGCTTCCATTGTGGTTAGCGTGGGAAACGGCAACGTGTTATGGTGAACCAGACCTCGTTTTCCACGGCAGCAGAGAGATGCCATTCTTCCCGTCTCCCGCTCAACACCTGGATAACTGAGGGCTCAGCCTGTGGCCTCGGCGGGGGGCCGCTCATGCGGAAGAGCCAGGATTTGCTGTAAAGAGTTCATGGCCGGGGGGAGCTAAACTTGAGGAGTACACTAGAAGGGGAGGAAAGCATCTGTGCTAAGATCCGTGAGGGAGACAGAGATTCAGGGAAGAAAGGACTTCCCACTTGGGGGATGAGGTGGGTGCATGGGGGTGAGTCAGGCCGACTTCAGAGAGAGGGGCTGCGTCTGGGCTGGCCGGTGAAGAGCGGGCAGGGTGGAAGGGGGCATCTGAGAAGGATGCAAGTAGGGGGCGCAGTGACCACAGCCTGCAGCGGAAGGTCAGGCAGGGCCTGGGGGGGCGGATGATTCTGGTTGCGAGGTAGCTGGGGTCAGCAAGGGGGTGGGGCGGAGAGTGATGCCAGCTGTCGGGGGTCCCTGGAAGATGATAGGGGTTAGAGTGGTGGCCGAAGCCAGGGGGCCAGGAGAGTTCTGGAAGGGGTGGAGGGAGGGGAGGACAGCGCTGAGGATGGAGCTGGGGGAGGGGCACAGGCAGGGGAGACCCGGACACGTCATCTACCCCAGGGATGTGACTTTCCAGAAGGAAGGGGGTGGTCACCAGCGCCGTGCAGAGGTGGAGAGGGAGGTCCAGAAAGGCTTCTGCACCGGCGCCTCGCTGGCCTCTGGACAGCTCATCAGACGGCAGGGCAGGGAGGGGCCGGGGAGTTGCTGGGGACAGACCTGCCATGGCGTCCATGGCTCTAGCTGCTCATCTCGCCTTTCAAGGGCAGTTGTAAAAATTGCCTAGAATTGCTAAGAGACAGAGGAAATTTCCAGGCTTTTGTGCGTTCACCCTTTTCAACTTTCGGAGGATTAAAGAGTCACGAGGAAGCCAGTGTTCCGTGTCCTAAGCCCAGCTCTGCCCCTTCCAACCCCGGACCTGGAGAAAGTTCCTCAACATCTTGGAAAGGCTTACTCGTCTATGAGAGCTGTTCAACGTCCCCCTCCGCTGGGAAATGAAACCGCACATAAAACGCAGCTTCTGCTCCGTGAGCGCCCTCGCCCCTCGTTTCCCTCTCTCCCTCCACGCTGCGGGGACAGTGACATTTCCGGGGCGGGGGGCAGTGAGCGGGTGAATGCTGACCAGATGCTTCCTGGGCATTCCCTTACTGCCCCTACTGCTTTGAAAGTTCACAGCTCGTCCTGGGAGCCCTGGCCGAGGCTCCTGGAACCCTGGGGGCTGGTGCGAGCTTTGTTGCCTGGCAGGGTGGGAAGTGGCCTTGAGGTGTGTCCTCAGTGCCCTCTTCCAAGTGGCCGCCTTGCCTAGTCCTGGCAGGGCTGACCTGAATAATCAGACGAATAAACGCATTCCCTTTTGTGCCCGGATACTAGTTTAGACGTATGAAATTTAGACGAAGCCCCGGCAGGTTGCCGTGTGAGCGAACTTCTCTGTCTGACTTGTTTGTACTGTGCAAACTCATGACAAGGTCATGAGAACAAACGCCCCGCTGACTCTGGGGCCTGGGGGGGGGGGGGGGGGG